ACCCCTTGTTCAACCTCGATATTCTTGAAAGGAAAACAAGTAAAAAGACAGAAGGACGTCATTGTTTATGATTAAATTCCGTATACCGCCCCATAGTTATTCACGAAACAACTTTTTAACATAAGATGTTATATGGGAAGTGATAGAAAAAATGGTCCAATCCGAATCATTTTTTCCTTGGGCCAAACACATCATTGCACTAAATTTCATCCATATATGTCAAAAAATGCGGCCTGTGTGCCAAACCCACAATTGCACACGGCCAGACATCACACGGAGAGATGGAGAGACAGGCTTTTTTTCAATTTAGAAAATGATTCTGAATCGTGGCTCTATCATATATCCTGCACCACAAGTGGTGTAGGCTATAGGAAGCTTTCACATGGAAACGAAAGTCAACAGTTAGTATTTTATGATGAAAGTTGAGGTTATTGTGGCACATTGGTCCAAGTTCCGCAACGTCTGTATATATTTACATATTTATATGAGATTTCCTCTCTCTCTCTCTCTCTCTGTATGGTAATTAGATGCTCGTATCCTAGGTTAAGGTTTAAAAATTTTTTTTTTTTTAATGATAATGATAATGTACAGGAACTAACTCTTAGAAGTTGGTTTCAAATAAATCTTCCGGATATTTAAGCCACAAATCTATTGGCTTAGTCCATCTCCATTCAACATACCAAAAAAAAAAAAATAAATCTTCTGAGTTCTAAATATGTCAAAATGGGATATGATTAGATGTGGCAAAAACAAGGGAAAGATAACTTTGCTCCAAAGACGCTCTTCAAATGCATATTGAAAACATTGGATTCCATAAATAATATATATAATAATATTTTACTTTCCTATTAGATAACACAACAACTCAAACTCTTAAGGGATAAAATTGCCTGTGACTGCTGACTGTTGATGAACTTAGATTTGAATTATGAAAATGAATGAAATTTGATCTCTTAGGGCAAACGGTAGTACATTTTGCATGAAATTCTCAACATTATTAGAGCAAGTACAACAATCTAGGGGATCCTTGCTATTTAAATGTATCCTCCATTAGTTGCGGACAGCACTCGATTTAAATCCTTACCGTAGGTACTGGTCGGGAAATGTGAAAAAAATAAAAAATATTTTTATTAACTATAAGTAAAAGAAAGAAAGAAAGAAAGTTTTAAGAAAAAAAAGAAAAAAAAAAAAAAAAAAAAGGGGTTTTTTTTTTTTTTTTTGCAAAATTCATTCATGAGTGACTGAAAAACTAATTAAATCCTTTTGTTTTGCATATAGAACAGGAAAGAAGCTTTGGAGAGGAAGAAAACGAAAAATATACGAACGGAAATAAAATGGTGTAAGAAATAACTCTATCAGCAACCGCACAGACACAGTTCAAAATTACTAACATTTGCTATACGACAAAAAAAAAAGAGGAGAGCAGATAAGAAATGTGGAAGGACGGGGAAGATTTAGAAAAATTCATATAATTAAATTTTAAACGAACCGAAGCCACAATATTTAAAGGTAAACCAAAGCTTTCGTTCATAATTATATTATTATTATTATTATTATTATTATTATTATAAACTTAGCCAGAGAATAAATTCTAAGACTAAAGTCTTAAAGCACGACCATTGAGTTGGTAGTCGAGACTCTTGCCCACTCGGCCACTCAGACGGATCGTTCATAATTATAAATTCGAATGCTTTGCATTTTTCTCTCTATGCATACCTTTGTTCATATATCTATGAAAGAAGATATTAAACAAAATCTGATTTACAACTTAGCAGCAGTTTCTCCCCATCTTTTGAAGCCAAGTATCCCTACAGGAAAGGCAGCATTTTTTTTTGTGAAATTCCAGATTCATGCTATCACTTTATATCTATATAAGATCTGAACCGTTGGATTTTATATGAAAGGATTGAAACAAGTCCGACATTGGTTTAGCAGCGTGTTGCAGAGCATTGTCGTGCTAAAATATAATCTTATCGAACAGCTTTCGATAATAGCATAATAATTGCCGTTCAATGTGTTGTACGTTTTAGTCAACCTTTAGGAACATATTAGACGATTAAATTCATGGAGAAACTTGTTTTGAATAATTTGCCGAGAACATATGCGGTTAATTTTTCTGTTGACATTGAGATAGTTAGGTAGACTAACAACTAATATCCGTTTTTCAAGCCATCCACCATCTGAGCTGAAAAGAACACTTCAAGGGGCCTTTCGCACATTAAAGCTTTCCCTCTGAATACTTTTATTTGTAAGATGCCTCAGCCCGAGTAAGATTACAATAAGTTGTTGAGGATATATACTATCTAAGCGGTTTGAGATATGCCTTCTGCCATGCTAACGGAAAGAGAATCATTTAAGCCTGGATAACCATTTTATGCTAATCCAAATATTTTAGTACTCAATCAATTGATTTGGAGTTTTCGGGACACTTTTATGAAATTTGATATGCTAACATATTTTGGACCAAGGAAAACTATTACTGGAGATCGGACAATTTCTGCTGTCCCTACCCTGTTTTAAAAAAAAATTCATAAAAAAAAAATTTCTAAAAATAGTATTTGTGTATGGAAATTGAGAAACCATTTTTTAAAACCCCTTCCCAGGTAAAAGATTTCACAAAAAACAAGCCTTTATATTGCGGTCAAGGTTTAATTTCTTCTATTTTATGATAGCCATAGCTGGCAGAATAACATGATATAAATTTACTTTGCTATATTTAGAAAGCGGAGGTTTATCCGCCCGTCCTTCATTAAGTTGGCTGCCGGCAAAAGCAAGCCTACGTGCGACACCTATGCCTACATCCTACTACTTTGGCGGCAAATATAATTGAAGAATAATAAATTGTATGAATTAAAAAAAAAAGAATCCGTTATACAGAATTTGGATAAAGTCCACATTGGGATCTCTTCCACGTAAGACTTTTTTTAAAAAATTCGTTTTCTATACTGTTAAAATGGCTAATTTTTATTTAATTGTTAGTTGTGGATATTGGCAGGCGTAGAGCGCGTTCCCCTTATAGCCAGCTGAGCGATGAAGGTTTTGGCAAATCTTTCACATTAAACATTATTTTTGAAGTGGAAATCACCTTTGCTTAAATTATTTTCTCTAATCTCCCTCAAATATTGCATCCCAATGAACGTCCCTTTGCTTTCAATATATTTCAGAACTAGTGTGAAGCAACGAGAGAATTCCATTAAGCGATAAGAAGAATTGATTAAAGATCATTGGCCATTCAAAAATTTCTAACCATACATTTTCATAAAGTTTCCTTCCTTAAAGTTGAAATTTAAACATCTAAAGTATTTATTTATTATGCTTAATACCGGATTATTGCACGAAATGAAATTCTCTGTAATGCCTTAGAAGCAGAAATGTACAGAGACCGCAAATGTTGATTTTAATTTTTCGCTCAAGTCAAGCCCTTTCAAAAAACAAAGATTTTGGAAAGATTGCAACATTCCTCTTTAGTTAACTATGTTGAAGGGTAGAATTTTGCAGGTACTTTTCAGTTTTACTTAACAAGAGTTTTGACATCATTTTAGAACAAGTTTGTAGCGAATAAAATCTTTGTTAAAAAAAATTACTTAATTACACAACAATTAAAGTATAATTTAAAAGACACGAACTCATATGCAAACATTGACTTGATATATATATATGTATATATATATAAGGTATTTGAAATCATTTATAAACATGTATTTGTGCTCATTTGTATAGAAATGCATATAATGCATATGAAGAATATCTACAAATCCAGAGTCTGACTGTGTGATTATATTATATTATGTATGATTATGTGTGTGCGCCTGTATATACATTTGTGGTGAATGGTCTTAAATGAGGGTGAAATTGGAGGTCGATGTCGTTGGTGTTGTTGCCGTCATTCGCGTTGCCATTCTCGTCGTAGTTGTCAACGTTGTCGTAGGTAGAGTCATTGAATGTTGCCGTTAATGTTATTGAAATTACTATAATTATTATTGTTGTTCACGTCGCAGCCGTTAAAGTTGATGATAACAATAATAACAGAATAAACACAACCATTCGCGAAAGATGTATTAAGTTAGGAGAGTACTTTACACGCCTAACTATAGGGAGCGAGAGAGAGAGAGAGAGAGATAGAGAAAAAGAGAGAGAGATGTAGATTGAAAGAGAGATGATACGCACACACATATACTAAAATTTACAAAACTTTATGTGAAAGGGATGTGCATAAAATTTGCAGCGAACTATAGTAAAAGGTAATTTATACATATACATATCAATATATATGTATATATATAAAGTAAATAAAAAGGTATATCCAACGACAATAACACATTAGTGTTCGTCATCCGTTTATTGTTATTTTGTGTTCGAATTAACGTCATTTCAAACATGAAACACAGATGCTCTATAGTATAAAGATATTTTAACTATTTTATTTGTTTGGTGGTTATGTGCGAGGGAGTTTCATTTTGCTTTCCATACACATATATAAAAACTTCAACACCCACTCGTGAAACATTCATATACAGTTGGAAGTATATCAATGAATTCCAATTGGAATTAGCCACTTTGTAACATAACAGCAGCCAGCAGCAAATGAAAAATAGTTCATTAAACATATTTTTTTTTTTACAAAAAAAAAGAAAAAAAAAAAACAAACAAAAAAAAAACGAAAAAACAAGCATCATATCTTTTACGTTTAAGAAAATTATAAATACCGGTTTTTATGTAGTTTAACTATTTACACAAAGAAAATATACGAACGCAACTTAACGTTAATCAAGCGATAACCAACCTTCGGTTTTCTTTCTTTTTTTTTTTATTATTATTCCTTTCTTTTCTCGTTTTATATTATTATTTATTCTTGTGGTGCCTCCTCTTCTGGTTGCACTTATAATTTTTTTCAATTTTCTTTTCTAAAGTTCTGTGTTGTTATTTTGAAAAAATATATATATTTTTGAAATATTCTTTGCAATTGCATTCTTTTAACATTGCATTGCATACCCACTTACACGCACTCTCGCCGAATTGACTATTCTATTTACCGATTTTTTTTCGTTATTTTACTTATTTTACATTTTCGCATAACTATTTGTTTAGAACCCTATTTAGTTTTGTATTTTTCATTTTTCAAATTTTTCTTATTAGTGTCTCTACCATTCGTATTTTACTTATTTTGTATTTGTATTTCAATAGTTTTTTTTTTTAATCTATTTTCCTTTCTTTTTTTTTTTTTCCTTAAGCTTTGAAAAAAATTCCGTCAATTTAATTCCACATTCATGACAAATGAACTGACTTTTTTTTATTGCCTAGCTCTCTTTGATTTTTTGATTACAAAACAAAATACAAAGTGCTACCAAGTTTCGCTTATAATATATTTTAAGGGTATGATTGCCAACAGCCAGCAATAAAGAGAATTAGGTAAGAAATTGCCGCAGTAAATTAACAATTATGTACAAAATTTTTTTTGATTAAGATATTTATGAAACAAGCCTTAAAGTCAAAGATTATTATTAGGATTAAACGTTTATTTAATTCATATTAGTTAAGATTACTATCTTAATTATATATATACAGTTAGATTATTATGTATATTAGTTAAGATTATCATCTTAAGATTATCAATCTTTTTTAATTAATATCTTTTGAAAACAACTTGAATATGTTCAAAGGATTATATATGCTGTGGTTAGTCTTACTACTCAGTACTTTTTAAAGCCTTCGGATGTGAGGAAAACTGTAATAATTATTGCAGACACATTGGCTTACTCTAATGGTGTGAATTTAAATTTTAATTGAATGGAAATGTTAAATGATTTTAGTTGCCTTACCATTATGTTATCAATGCAGTGTTGTAGGAAATAAAAAACATTCGCTTTAGTAGTAAAAGACAAAGAATAATAGTGAAACTAGAAGACCCCATAACCACTTTGATATTACACCCATGAAAGAAATAACAGGTGATTAGTAATTGTGTCTAGGACATAATTTCAACACTTCGAGCAAATGAGATTGACCAATTTCAAGGTGATTGTTTGAATGTGTACGAACTAAAGTGTAAAACAAGGAAAAGTCAGTCTTCTTCTTTTTTCAAAAATTTTCACTTAAAGAAAAATCGGTTTGAGAAGGAGCTTATTAAAAAAAAACATGTATAATATTATTAAGAGGCTCGCCTATGAATAATTTCAATTTAATATTATATAACTTTTTTTCTCCTTTTTTTGATTTGAAGTTAACCTTTTGACGGTAACAATAAGAATAAGAGGAAGAATAAAGGTAATATAAAGAATAACAAGAAATTTGAAAGAAAAAGTAAAAATTTAAATAAAACATTAACCTTCTAGTTAAAATATATATAAAAACATGACAATCATCCTCTATCTGATCTGTGATTTTGAATTTCCGATTGAAAAATTTTGTTTGAAAACAACATTTCAAGTAGGAAAAGTTTTGTATAATAATATTATTTATAGGAATCTATAAAATTTTATAATTATGCCCATTAACGATTTTGTTTAAATGTAATGCAACCTTGCTTAATATAACGGTCGAAATATATTTAGGTTACAGTTTTGTAATCAAAGATACAAAGAGTAAGAGCGAGAGTTAGAGGAATTTATATATCTCTCACAGGATAAAACGTGGCACAATAACAATATACATTGATGATAATTTGACGTCACACCGCAGAAAACACGCTAGTTGTTATTGCTAGTATTGCTTCTAATTAGTGCTTACGCACGACATGCAGAAAACAATTTACTAAAAATGAAAGAGAGAGTGTGAAGTTAATAACGCGGTTAACGAAATAATTAAAATGTTAATTGTCCAACCAACTGGCGTGTTAAGAGTTCAAAATAAAATGACATTAAAATAATCCTAAAAATAAGCGCATTGCATGGAAATGCCTATTTAATTAGAGAAAAAATGTATTGCATGCCTTTAGGGTGTAAAAAATTTTGTATATCCTATAAATGATTGCAATAATTAATCGAATTCCATACTTTTTTAATTGCTTTGAAAAGGTCAAGTTCAGGGAAATTCTAGGTAGCCTTGCCGAACTTACTACCCACTTAACCAGAAATTCATTCAGATTTTTTTTTGTTATGATTATTCTCTTATTTTGTTTTTGGTTAATGTTGTTCTTTATTAATATGGTGAAGCAATTTTCCCAATTGTACGTCAAATATGTAGGCGGCAGCTGGCTTCCAGAAATTTTCACAAGCTTAAAAACGGAATGAGCGAGGAAAACCACACTTCCATTCCAGAGCGTAAAAAATCAATTGTCTCTTTACGGTAAATATGGAATTACTTTTCGAAGGGAAAAAGAGCAGGGATACTTCGCCTGGGGTAGGAAGGTGTGTATAAGAAAATTTCATTTGTTTTTGTTTTTTTCATTTTAGAATTTATGAATGAAACGCGCAATATAATAAGTAAGGCAAGTTATTGTAATTCTTTTGGTAGAATGTTTTCAACAACAATTATGTTATCATTATAATAAATTAATTAAATTTTTTATTTTGGATTTTTATATCGATTAACTAAAGACTGAAAAATGTTCTATCGTTTAAATTAAATTTTTGGTGAACATTTCGCGCATACGGAATGAAGCTCATATTTGGTTGAACGGCTTTGTAAATAAGAATTATTGCCCCTTTAGGTGGAAGAATGACTTTTAAACGTACAAAAATAACTATTGGGTATGGCTTGCTAAAAATGTCATATTTGAATTTGAAATTGCAATAGCATTGCAGTTATCGTAAATAGAGAAGACTGAAGAAATATGATCATCAATTTTTTATAGTAAAACTTGTGTAATTTCGACTTTGGCCATATGTGCTTTCAAGAAAATCGTACAACATGCCTTCCAACATGCCATACATCATTATTAGGAGAAAAGTTCAATGGTGACCTTATTCATCTAGATTATTCGTGTTGTTAGCGAAATAAGAGTAGACTGATGTGAAAAAGTGAAAGTAGCGTATGTCCGCAGCTGTAGGGAATTTACTTCCAACGTTATAGTTACATATTATTCCTCTTTCTCCCCATTTCTTCCTTTCCCACCTTTACCGTATTCCTTCATGTGGCATATATGTTTAAGATTGTAAGTCGTCTTCGCAATACAAACTTTCCGTCCATCCATCCGTCCTTCCTCCATTGCTTAAACTTTGGCAATTTCAGCAATTGGTGTAGAAAGGTAAAGTTTGAAGATATGGATAAAAATCTCAGAGACATTTCGATAATTGGCAGAAAATTTCATTTGGAATATTTGAAAAAAATAGTTACGATCAGCTAGATGACGAACTAATTCGATTTTTTGAGTGTTTAAATAGTCGTTTGTTAGAAGAGATGTAATGCAATATTTTACATATGTTTGTGGAACGAATGCCTAAAGTTGCCGCAATCCCAACTTTGCATTATCAGTCTTTCCTCAGCATCAATGCTTCCTGGTATAAAAATCAGCTTTGGACCATTTGGAAACAGTTATCTCGTTGTACCAGCACAGTGGTAGAGGATGCTACTTCATTGTGAAGATAAGCTAATCCACTTTGAAAATCGTAAAAAGCTATCGCACGAAAATTTTCACGAGTTAATTGCATTTTCTCGTTAGGATGCTTTAAACAACACAAGTTAAGCTCAATTGGCAGACTGTTTTGAAGCAGACTATGGTCAAAAACGTGAACTTACCAGTGAAAATTTCAAGGAACAATAAGCAAAACTTAAACATCAATAATGACCCATGCAGCCCTTTTTGTCGTGCCCGATTTACTATAGTTTTCAAAACAGCTCTAATGTCCATTATTCGATTGCGAATCTTTGCGAGACTTTACTCAGTTTAGTTCAGACCGGGTATATAAATCGGATCAATTAAAAACAAAAGCGCAAAGGAAGATACATAATTGATTTGTCTTAGTAAGCGCGTAGATAAAAGCACTTTGGATGCAAGGGAAGTGATTCATCATCACTGCTACGATTAGCAGACAGGGGTTGCCAAAGGCTTAGGCTTTTGAAAATTAACCAACAAATTTGAAATAATTTTGAAAAATAATATTTACTTACGAATATTCTCTATAGAATAATCTAATCATCTCTCTAATGGGAATCATTCAAAAAATGTGTTAATCAACCTTTCGATTTCATTGACACTTTATCTTCCTAATGAACAATAATGAAAAAAAGAGAAGAAAAGCAAACAACAACAACAACAACAATGATAACGTCAAGAATTAATTGAAAATCATTTCCCGTTTTTATCAAAAAATTTCCACAATGAAATTAGTCGTACACCACTACAACTGCACTATTACGATTCATGGTAGCGATTGTCGCTTTCTCTCCTATGATTGATGTGATGACGAGAAATGTGTGTTAATTGATTATGAGTTAACACTCTATATATACGCTATAGACCCTTTCAATGTAGAATAGGCTCAGATTCCCAAACTTTTTTTTTTGATAATATGTGACCTTTCTTAAGGAATTTTCTTTTGTTTTATTTATTAAATTTAAAAATTAATTTAAAAGTTTACATCTAAATCTAAACATGAGAAAGGCATAAAGTGCAAATTTGTAAAGTAAAGTGAAAAGGGTTCATAAAGGCGAATTCTAGACAAGTAAAATATTAAATTTCTTCCAAGTCCAATTCTTGGCTTGCACTTCCCTCTCTAATCTACGAAATAAAATAAAAATAAAGTAAACAATTTTTGTTAATTGAAAAAGTCTTAGCTGACCGATTGGGGTCAGTTTTCATTGAATTTCTAGAAGACTCTAAAAATGTCTAAGATCAGTATCTACTACAGATTGCATGTTACTTCTTCTTACTCATTAAAAGCATATTGAGATGGTACTTATTTTCTGGAGGAGATTGTAAGTTATACCTAATATGCATGGAGGTATTTATGAGCGGATTATATCTACTTCATTAAGGAATTTAATCTGTAGTTAACGATTGAATGTATATTAATCAACTTTCATCTTTTTATACAAACATTTTCGAGAATTGCTGACATACGGAAAGCAAAGGTGAATACCTTTAGAACTATATAGCAGCCATGAAGAAGTCCCTTCTATGGCATTTTCGAGTTTTTTTGGCCATTATATATGGGTCGATGGGCTGATAAAGTTAATTTCGAAACGCAAACCATTGTTTTAAACAACATT